TCAACAGGGAGCTCGTTCCAGAGGGCCGGAGCTGCAACAGAGAAGGCTCTCCCCCAGGGAGTCACCAGCCGACAGATGGAATCCGGAGGAGACCCAACCTGTGCGATCTAATTGGTCTGAGAGAGGTAATCGGCAGGAGGCGGTCTCTCAGGTACTCAGGCTTGTCTTCAGAAATTGTGGTTGCCCCATCACTGAAGTCTTTTAACAAGAGACTGGACAGCCACCTGTCTGGAATGGTATAGACTCTCCGGCTTGAGCAGGGGGTTGGACTAGATGACCTCCAAGGTCACTTCCAACTCTGTTATTCTATGTTCTATATTCTATCTTCTCCCTTTTGCCCTTTCCACTAAGTGGGTTTGGAAAGGCTGGGAAAGACAGTAATTTTAAGATATGCAGTTAAGGCAAAGGTACAATAAATTATCCCTGTACTGTACTATGTTTGCAACAGGATAGAGGTGGAAATTATTATTTTATATTATGGCATCTCCTGCTGCCAAATGTCCATAATTCTTTATTATGTTTTCTATGACACTGGTGCAATTATTTATAGCATGAAAAAAGCATGAAAAGACTTCACGTTTTACCTAAGACGAATGGTAAGCCTGCGAGCAAGACCAGATTGGGAGGCCCTGTTCGTGGTAACTCATACTTTGGCCACTTCTTGATTAGATTACTATAATGTTCTCTTACAGGGAGCTGCCTTTGAAGAGCACTTGTAAGCTAGAGGTCTATGGAGATTCTCAGTCATCCAGGTCATGGTTGTCTCAAAGGTGCTTTTTCAAAAAACAACCGGACTACGTTTTTTTCCCTTGATGAAGAAGACATTTTGCTTCTCATCCAAGAAACTTCTTCAAAACTGGTGGAGCTTTTTGGATGAGAAGCAAAATGCCTCCTTCTTCCTCAAAGGGGGAAAAAAAAAGACATAGTCGAGTTTTGAAAAAGCACCTCTGAGATACTTGGAAGCTAGGCCGGAATGCATTTTTGACGCTGTTACACCCATCTAACATCACCACTCTGTCAGCTGCAATGGGCCCAGTAGGCCTCAGGTACAATACAAAATTGCTCGTCAGCACCTATGAAGTTCTCCGTGGCTTAAGAGTGAGGATGTTTGCAAGACTGCCTTTCTCAATACAATACAATACAATAGCAGAGTTGGAAGGGACCTTGGAGGTCTTCTAGTCCAACCCCCTGCCTAGGCAGGAAACCCTATACCGTTCCTGACAAATGGCTATCCAACATCTTCTTAAAGACTTCCAGTGTTGGGGCATTCACAACTTCTGGAGGCAAGCTGTTCCGCTGATTGATTGTTCTATCTGTCAGGGAATTTCTCCTCAGTTCTAAGTTGCTTCTCTCCTCGATTAGTTTCCAC